ACAACATTTACTTTAAAATCTAACAACAACAACAACCCCACTGCGAGGGTGGGGAATAATTGCCTTTTCTTTTTTTTTTCTGGTTGTCTTAGGCTTCTTAGCTAAAGACGTTCGCTCAGGAGGCTGGAGCATGGCAATGAAATGAGTCATGAGTTCTTCCCGTTTGTGTACAGCTGTTCCCGTGTTGAAAGGCCGCTCGAACCCCGAGCATGGCATGCAGGCTGGAGACGCAGCTTTCGATTGAATTGTTTGGCCCTTTGAGTGCATGGTTCTCGGTACTGCCTCCCATCGCTCTAGGCTTCGCTTCATTCTTGCTTGTTTGCAGGTGCCAGCTGTGCGTGGTTTCATACCACATTCTGATAAAGTGGCAGTGCTTCATGTGTTATTCAATATTCCACCCTCTAGCTAAACGCCATTTTGTACAATTCGCTGTTGATAGATATAGTCTCCAAAGACGACCCAGGTTTAATGTCCAAAGGACAATAGGACTTCTTGGCGCAAGATTCTGTCATGCCAAGTGACTTAGTGGGCCAGATGGTGTTGCCTGACTTGGGTAGGTCAGAATCAGTGCTATCGGCAATTACAGAATCTTGGCCGTTCGAGTTTCACAAGACGTGTGTTGAGTAAAGCTGCTTGGCACATTTTCAAACACAGCCGCGAGCATTTGACCGCTCCTGATGTGCCTCACATCGGGATTTCCATGTTAGCCGTGACCATCGTGCTCATGTGATTACCTTTGATTGAGATGGGATTAACGATGCTTGCTGTTGAATACCTATGAAACTCCATCCCCAACAGCAAAGCGTCTGTGACAGGGAGGCCCCCCCAAAAGGACACGTCGTTTTGAGACACCGCTGCCTGATTTGAAAGGGCACCGGCACATCTTTGGGTGTAAGGCTTGCCACGGCATGATCGGCTCGAAGTCAGCGTGTAGGTTGCAAGGTCAGCATGGAGGACCAAGCCTCAACCTTGGAAAGGTATCGTGCTTGTGACTGTGTGCTATCGAGGAAGTGTGTCTAAGGTCATACAGCGGCCTGTTGCATCGTTGAATATCTGGCCCGAGCCTTTACTGTAGAGCCCTTAAGAGGATCTGACGTGGCCCTGCGCTCAGGGCTATTGGCCAGGGTTTTGAAGGCACAGCCTCTGACTGGACTGAGCCTTGCCCTCAGCCGATCTCAGCCGAGTTGCCGCGTCTGCTTGGTTACTGGATGGCAAACGCTGGGCGGCCCTACCTGTCTCGAGGTACTTTGTGTGGCTGGTCGGCTTTATTGCCCTGATCTGGTGCAGTGGCTGCAGGGTTCTGGCATCAGTTTGCCGTCGCACGTCTCGCTTGGACCAGGTTCATTTGGCAGAGGAATGCGGGAGCCTAAAAGCTAAGCTGGCTCACTCAGAATGGCAAGCGAAGCAGACAGAGGTGATGGCTCTGCCAGACATCCCGGCATCAGAGCTTTCTGGTAAGGCTGTCTGCCCAGAATGTTAGCAAATCGCATTGCGCCCATCCGCTTCATGTTGCAAGGCTGCCCAGGATTGATCACCGATGAACGGTAACCTGCTCGGTTTGCAAGCCCTCTGGCCTGGGCTTGCCATACACATGGAGCTCAAAGCGTCGCAACATGCCATGAGTTGTGTCGAGTGGATTCTCAGGTCATGTTCAGCCTGGGGGCATGGCCTGGGGACCAGGCCATGCTTTGCATCTGAGCTTTAGAGACCTGCTGCAGGCGTACTGCATACTCGACGCTTCCCTTTGGGATTTGGCTGCTGTTAGACAGGAACAGCATGGAACAACGCAAGGTGTCTCTCATGGGGAGAAGTGGAGCTCAAACAGGAGTATTCAAGTCCAGCAACTCTATTAGTGAATGATGGGTTAGATCCATGCTTCTTTGTCATCGTGAGTGATGCCTACACATGACCCAGAGGCATCAAGCATGATTGCTGAAGGCCAATTCGCTCAAACAATCACTGAGGACAATGTCCCCAAATCTTTGATTGGGGATACAAGACATACCTTCACATGCTGGGCTAACGCTCAGAGCATACCAAGAAAAAGAAAGGTTCTGAAAGGACAGACTCTGACTTGATCCTGAAGCTGGAGCCCAGCGCCTGCAGCGCCTGCAAGGGCAGCCGCAGGTTAACAGCATGCAGGAGTTACGAGGAGCTTAGAGCACGTTGGCAGGTCAGGGACATTTGCTTATTGAGGTCAGTTCTCATCACAGGGTGATACAACAAGCTCTGTGAAGATTTGAATGGTTGCTGCGTCACAGTGGAGGCCTAGCCTCTCAACCTGAGACCATGAGCATGCATAGCTCCTGTTCGTCAGTCACTACATGAGGATCAATTTCACGAGCTTGTCAAGAGGCAGCTTCAATGCCTACCCGCAATCCATGATGGGCTTTCAGCAGTGCGCTCTCCAAGTTTGGCCAGCCGATCGTGTGGTTGCTTCTGGCAGAGACGGCGCAGTTAGAACTGTATGCCAGGCCTCCCGCCCAACAAACAGGCTGCCCATCATGTATGATTAGCTTTTGCGGTCATGGGTGGTCAGCTGGTTTCTGTGGGTTTGCGGCTGCTGCGAGGCATCTCCGATGGAGGCAAAGCAGCGTGCAGAGCATCTAGTTCTGAAATTTGGCACAATAGGCACGTGTTGCTGGCAGGAGGTTGTGGAATGTCCTTCCAGAATGCGCCGCCCGCTGCGTGCTCGGAACAGGTTCTTCTCACCGTCTGCTGGTTCTGATTTCTTTAATAAGGTTCAAGGAATACCTGGCCTAGGCACTGGCTTTGACTTGCACTCGCCATGATGCAGGTTTCCACTAGTTGGCAATATCAGCACCCTTTCCTGGCAGGCTCGCCTGCGGAGCTGCAGCAGCAAATGATGATCATGATGCAACAGCAGCAGCAGTTGCAGCAGCAACAACAGCAGCAGCAACAGCAGCAGCCGCCGCCTCAACAGCAGTGCGCATCCTAGCAATCTATTGAGGGTTTGCAGGGACATGACAAGCGCTGTGGATGCCCAGGCAAAGTCAGCATGGTGGGGACAGAGATCAGCAGGCAGAGCTTCGTGAAGCAAACTGTCTTTCTTCCAGCATGCGTCAAAGCGACAGGAGTTTGCTTTAGTCGCTGGGTCACTGAGTGCTGCGGAGAAAGAGTCAATGACCCAAACTTGCTTTGCCGACAGAACCTGATGTTCTTTAGTGTCCACTCAGGTACTACACAACCCTTTGGAATGTGGCCTGTACCAGTGGCCAAATACTTGGTGGCAAGGACCTGCTGAAAAGGCTCAAACGAAGACGCTGCTTCCGAGTCGGCTCTTGTGCGTAGGCCGCCTTTGACTTCCTGTCAAAGTCGCAGCTGCCTCGAGAGGCCGTGTGTCAAAGGGCTACACCCTAAAAGTTTCCTGTACAGAGAGAACTCGCACTGTCTGGGATAGTTGTCATGCACCCTGCATAGGAACAATGCAAGTCGCAATAGCAGCCTTACGTACCAAACTCCAAATTGTGAACGAAGTCAAGGTGCTTTTGTCGCAAGGTTAAGGTCCAGTGGCGGCATGACCCAAGACACGAGGGAAGGGTTCATTTCCCTGTGACGATGAAAGCCTGCGCAGATCCTCAAGCGAATCTGGGATATGTCGGATC